AATGGTAAGAAATCTACCAACCAACCATCAAACAAACAACATTAGATGTTGATATTGAATTTAATAACAGTCTTACTGTATTTTCAACAAATATGAAATTTCTCCTGCATTAATAGGTTTAGAAAAAACTGTAACCAACCGCTCTTGTGTAATGAGAAGGCTGATAATAAAAAATGTTTAACCCCGTAATGACTTTATTTTTTAACCCTAAGTTAATTTTCCTGTAAGTGTAGAGCTGGATATAGCGGAGACGGAAAAACTTGCAACGGTAAGTGAGAAAAAAACAAACAAACAAACAAACAAACAAACAAACAAACAAACAAACAATCAAAACCTAAGCAGCAATACATTTGATGTTGATGCTGAATGCACTGAGGAATCTCACTTCATTTTCAACAACTATGAAATTTTTCCTGCTTTGATGAGCTTAAAAAAACTGTAATCAACCGCTCTTGTGCGATGAGAATAATAATAGAGAAATGTTCAACCTTTTTTTTTAACAATTTCGAAGCCGGCGCCAAGGCTTAGAACCGGGGTAATATAAATCATCCCAAAGCAGCTGAGAATTAGTTAGTGATTGTGTAAAGTAAAATAAATTTATTTTTCATTGAAAGGTACTGACTACTTGCCGTAAAATTTTGACGGACTGTTCTCAAGCTGTATGCTTCTTAAATGAAATGGTTAGACTAACGTTAGCTCAACGTTTATTTATTTACTCCTTTAATCCTGTTTCAGACGTAGACGAGTGCTCTTCAAACTCTCATACCTGTGATGTGAATGCTGTTTGTAACAATACTCGTGGATCTTACACTTGCGCGTGCAAAGCTGGATATTCAGGCGATGGCAAAAATTGTACTGGTAAGTTATTTTTACTTAACAAGAACTAAAAAAGGTATTGGTTGAAAAGGCTATTCGCCTTACATATTTATAGCATGTATAATATATTTATGCTTTTTTTGTCTGGTCTTTGGATGTAAAAAGGGGGATATTTACATATATTTTGGTTCTATTCACGGAAAACATCCAAGGTGTGAACAATTAGCAATCAGTTTTCGTCTATTTGTACATTTAATTGCAGCTCAATATGCTGTTTAAAATTTAGAGATGTCGGAGCTCAAGAAACGACGCCCTTTTAGGAATTTTCACAAA